CGGCTCATCTTTGAACTATGAGCTGAACTATGAGCCGAACTATGAGCCGAACTATGAGCTGAACTATGAGCCGAACTATGAGCTGAACTATGAGCCGAACTATGAGCCGAACTATGAGCCGAACTATGAGCTGAACTATGAGCCGAACTATGAGCCGAACTATGAGCTGAACTATGAGCCGAACTATGAGCTGAACTATGAGCTGAACTATGAGCTGAACTATGAGCTGAAACACGAGCTGAACTGAGCTGAACTATGAGCCGAACCATGAGCTGAACTATGAGTCGAACTATGAGCTGAACTATGAGCTGAACTATGAGCCGAACCATGAGCTGAACTATGAGTCGAACTATGAGCTGAACTATGAGCTGAACTATGAGCCGAACCATGAGCTGAACTATGAGCCGAACTATGAGCTGAACTATGAGCTGAAACACGAGCTGAACTATGAGCTGAACTATGAGCTGAACTGAGCTGAACTATGAGCTGAACTATGAGCTGAACTATGAGCTGAACCACGAAAATACAGACAAAGCTAAAAGTAGCTAAAGTCTGAATGTTGCAAAAGACAAGTTAAAAATTAAATGTCATAATGAGCACAAGAATTGGCTAAAAGAGCAAAACACTAGCATGAACTAAAAAGAGCTAAGATCAAAAAGTAGCTAAAACTAAAAGGGGTAAAACTTAAAGCAGCAAAAAGCTAGCCAGCTTTGACTAAACTAAAAGTTCAAAGTGAAATGTTGCAAAAGTCTTAAAAGGAGCAAAGTATTAGATAAAATAACTGAGGTCAGCTAAAAGTAGCAAAAAGGTCAGCTACGGGCTACTTAGTTAAAATAAGCTAAGTGCTAAAAGAAGTAAAACACTGAATATAAGCAGAAAATCTGAAGGGATTAATTTTTTATGTATTTAAATGAGTAAAAAGTATTAAGTATGAAGTATTTTAGAAACGTACTAAAAGTCGCAGCAGTTATGGTCTGAATGAGCCGAATGTTCTGGTTTATGAAAACAGCCGAAGGACTGCAGACGATTGTAAA